GCTTTTGGATCTGATAAAGTCAGTCAAATTCCCTCAGGATTTATCCTGAGACCCTGTACCTCAGATTGTAGATCCTTTGTCAGTGTCAGCCATGTGGATGAGTCACGGCCATTGCTTGGCCAATGTGCTCTCTGTGAAAGCCTGAATGTTTTCTCTCCTGGTGACTCTCCTTAGGCACACTCTACCTCATCGATCACTTTCTTCTTTGGTTCCATAATCTCCTTGATCAGAAAATTTGGGACACTACTGAGTTATGGGATGTTACAGTACAAGTTCTCATATGTCCTGAATCTTAATTGACCTTGGAATATTTTTTAAATTTTTGAGACAGGGTCTCACTATGTAGTTCACGTTGGTCTTGAACTTGCTTATTTAGCTCAGGCTGGCCTTGAACTCATGGCAATCCTCCTGCCTCAGTCCTCCCCGTGCCTTTAGGTTTCTTAATATTTTTTGTGGTACAGGGAATCAAACTCAGGACCTTGTACTTGCCAGGCAGGTGATTATGCTGCTGAGCTGTATCCTCAGCCCCTCCATTTCTTAACATTCTTTATCCTTTACATTCTCCAAATTATCTCAAGTCTTTCTAAGTGAGACACTATGGTTAACAACTGTACTCATAAAGAATCTAACCAAGTACGTGAAGTCTACACACATGAACAAATGACATGTATCCCTGTAATTCCTTTTGGCTGCTGTTTTAGTGGTAATGGGAATTGCATTTAGGGTCTCTTCTCCATCCCTTTTTATTTTTTGAGACAGACGCCCTATTCGGCTGGGCCTGCACTTGTGATTTTCCTGAGTCAGTCTCCCATGTAGCTGGAATTACATTGTCTACTTGGAGAAAAGCAGACATACTTGAAAGTGGTGAGTGGTAACCAGTAGCTGGGTATGGTCAAAAGCCAACACACAAGAGCTGGGCTGGAGCTGATAAGGCAGCTTGCAGCCTTTGGGCAAATGCATGCTGGAGATGAAAAGTGAATACTATTTTTTTCCTGAAAAAAACACCCCCAACAGAATTGTCCTTGGTACAGCAGTCTCCTTTTTTTTTGAGACAGATTTGCTGCGTATTCAGGGTGGCCCTGAACTTACTATGTTGCTTAGGCTGGCCTTGACTCCTGGCAATCCTCCTGCCTCAGCCTCCTGAGCACTGAGGTTACAGGTGTGTACCACCATGTCCAGCCAATACAGCATAGTTTAAAAGAGAATAAAGTGTTTGCTTCAGCAGCATATATAATTTTTAAAAAAGAATAAAATAGTCCCCTAAATAAGTTAATTCAAGAAAAATAGAAGGCTCTAGATCTTAAATGTAAACTTGCTTGATAGTATTTTATTATTTTCTTATAATTTTAGGGACATTGTTAGACTCTACATTAAAAAAAAATTATATAGAGGACTGTTTTTTCTCAAGTGCAAATGTGCCAGTGGTGAACATTCCACAACATACATTCTAGAAAAAAATGGAACTTTGCTTCACTTACTGCTCCTTCACGGACACAGATGGCTTTGACGGTTCCTTGGGGCTTACTGAGTGAGTCCTGGAGAAATTCACTCTTTGTGTTTCTGAACACATCACTGATATCTGTAATCTGGAAAATGGGTAACAAAAAGGGGTAACTACACAAGAAGTCATTTTTATCTCAAATCACTGTATCAACAAGATTACTTTTTATTGCTTTTGTATTTAGTACAGGGTTTACAGGGTCTCACTACCAAGATCTGATTCACAGTGATCCGCCTGTGTTCAGCCTCCCAAGCGCTGGGATTACAGGTGCGCACCACCACCCCCAGTGTCTATTATTTGCATTCTGAGACAAAGTTTTCCTACGTAGTTTGAGACTGGCCTGGAACTCACTATTATAGCCCAGGCTGGCCTAAACGCATGATGATCCTCCTGCCTCAGCCTCTCATGTGCTAGGATTAAGGTATGTCCCACCCATGCCCTGAGATAAGGTCTCATTATACAGTCCAGGATGTTCTTGAACTTGCTGTCATCGTCCTGTGTTAGCTTCCTGAGGGCTGGGATCACAAGTGTACACTGCCACGCCTGGCAACAAGATTCTCAAGAAGGGACTTACGTGGATATGGCGGTGCATGCCTACACTCCCAGGACTAAGGAGGGTGAGGCAGAGGATCACTGTGACTTCAAGACTAGCCTTGGCTACAAAGTGAGCTCTGGGCCAGCCTGAACTGCACAGTGAGACCCTATCTCAAAAAGACAGGGGAAAAAGGGGACTATATCTTGATAAGTTAAAATTTATAGGGGTCTCCACAGAGGGCTAATTTTAGGTTGAGAAGCTTTTTACATTCATTTCACATTCATTTTTCCTTTCTTTTTTTTAGTAGTGGGGATTGAACCCAGGATCTGCCACTAAACCACCTACCCAGGCCTTTTAAAATTTTGAGACAGGGATCTTGCTACGTTTCTCAGGCTGGACTTGGATCCTTCTACCTTAGCCTCCTGGTTACCTAAAATTACACACGTGTGATGCCATCTATGCCGGATTTATATTATTTACTATTTCCACTTCATTAAAGGAGCAACTGAGGAGAGAGGTAGGGAAGACAATGGGAGGACAGCTATAAGCAAAATATGTTAGCCCTTGTATGAAAATGCCACAATGAAACCAAGAGTTTTATAAAATTTACATATATATATATATATATATATATATATATAGAGAGAGAGAGAGAGAGAGAGAGAGAGAGAGACAGAGACAGAGACAGAGAAAGGGAAAGAGAGGCAGAGAAGACACAGCTGGGCAGTCAGAATCCAACCCAAGTTGTGTGATTTAAGAACAACTGTCTTAAGGGCACAGTGGCCCAGGCCTATACGTAATCCCAGCATATGGAAGGCCAAGGCCGGAGGACAAAAAGTTCCAGCCCAGCCTAGGCAATCTTGGTGACAGCCTGTCTCAAAACAGAAAATCAAAAAAAGACTGTGGATGCAGTTTAGCGTGAAGACCTTAAATTCAATCTCTCATACTCTCAAGAAAAAAATATTATTATTCCATGTTACAAAAGAGGAAAGAAAGAATAGTTAGGTTGGTATTCGTAACATTTTTGTTTTTCTTTTCCTGGTGCTTTGAAACAGTCTCACTATGTAGTTCAGAGCAGCCTTGAACCTGCAGTGATCCTCTTGCCTTAGCCTCCTGAGTGCTGGGATTACACGTGTGCCCCACACCCCCAGCTTACACTGGTATCTATAATACAGTACATGGTCATTACTTTGTGTATACTGTTTTTCTTTTTTTTTTTTTGGCGGACCCAGGGATTGAACTCAGGGCCTTGCGCTTGCCAGGGAAGTGCTTATTCCACTGAGCCATCTCCCCAGCCCTACTGTTTTTCTTTAATTGTAAGATCTGAACACTGACTGTTCATAGGTCATATAGGATTCTCTCTCTCTCTCTGAGATGGGGTCTCCTTCGAGACAGTTCTGAAGTTCTGGGTCTTTGACTCAGCCTCCTACATAGCTAGAACTACAAGTACATGCCACCAAACTGGCACAGAACTCAATTTCCTAATAATTTGTTCTTCTATTAGGGTCACTATTTTTTCTTCTTCTTTTTTCTTTGAAACAAACATACTACTCACTATGTAGTTCAGCCTGGTCTGAATTTACTCTGTAGCCCAGGCTGGCCTCGAATTCATGGCAATCCTGCCTCAGTCTTCCAAGCACTGGGATTACAGGAGTGCATAACCATGCCTTGATAATCTTTTTTAAACTTAAAAATTAAAATATGCTATCTTTTTTTTTTTTCCCCCAACAAAACCTTATGTTGAGAGCTGACTTTGAATCAATCACAGTGAGGGAGCTGCTCTGCCATATACAAAACCCCAACCCAGAAGCAGGTCGGCTCTGAGTGGTTCATAGCACTCAGAACTCTTAATCGCACCCAAGTACTATCTGGGCTTATAAAGACTGAAAACATTTTCCACACAATTAATAATAAGTACTACAATACAACTTTCTAGCAAGAGTCCTGATCTTAGAAATGGGCCTCAGAACACAACAGACACATAGTCTGTCTTGCAGGAGCTCGGTAACAACAAAGGTGACAAAGGTCTGCAGAACTGTAGGGGAACTGGGTCCTGGGAAAGTGAAAACAGCACCTTCATCCCGAAACGAGTGTCAGGTTTATCGGTTCCATAGGTGGCCAGCGCCTCAGCAAAAGGCATGGATGGGAAAGGAGTCACCACAGGATCTCTGTCTCCAGGCCAGGCATACTGGAGCAAACCCTCAGTTAAACTCTGGATTCCAGTCTGGTCTACAAAAGACATCTCTATGTCAATCTGAAACCGAAATAACAGGCGAAGCAAGCTTAAATAGTCACAATACAACTACTGCACTGATTTGAAGCTACCACCACAGCACTCTGCATACAAACAGTATGTGGAAAGGGTGCAAATACTGCACCGCTGTTTTATGTCTGGCACTGTACTAATGTCTTACGTGAATCAATACTTGTTTAATTCCCACAGCTATCCATGGTTTTAGGTTCAGAGAGACTCAGCAGCTTGCTCACTATCTGCAATTAGTAAGCAGTCACGCTGCATTTGACCCCTGGTCTATCCAATTCCCAAGTTGATTTTTTACTTCATCACACTGTTATCATATAGAAACCAAGTCGTAGTGGCTTTGTTAAGCCAGCAGATTAGGTGAACAGATTAAACATCAAAGTACAGAGTTTATGGCCTCTAAAATGTAACAGATTTGCTTTAATGACTTTATCTTATGATATAAAAACATAGCAGAGGGGCCAGGGAGATAGCTCAGTGGAATAAGTGCTTCCCTGGCAAGCACAAGGGCCTGAGTTCAATCCCTGGTTCCGCCAAGAATAAATAAATAAATAAATAAAAAATAAAAACATGGCAGAAATCTCTGGCATACATGACCATGCTCCTTATAAAAAAGACAGGTGAAACAGATCGTAAGTTGAATAAGTATCTGAATGCAAGTCAGCACAATTAAATTTCTGATATGTAAAATTAATCCATAGGAAAATACATGAAATTATAGCTCCAGTCTTGAAATTCTTGGCTGCAGTAAGCCTGAGTTTGTAAGAGACAAATATATGAATCCAAGTACCTGCGTAAACTCAGGCTGCCTATCAGGTCTTGAACCTTCATCTCGATAACACCGGGCAACCTGAAAGTATCTGCAATTGGAAGGCAGTATTAAGTCAGGCGTGATTCTAGGCACACGCATTTCCCCCAAAAGTTTATAGTAATGCAGGCAATCAAATAAATTTATTAATAATATCTGAAAAACATGAGAAATATTTTATCTTATTTTATTTTTGGTACAGAGTCTGGCTACACAGGCCAGACTCATAGTGATCCTCCTGTCTCAGCCTCCCCAGCGCTGGACTACAGGCACGTACCACTACTCTAGGATTTGGTGGCTGGCATGGTGTACCCAAGGTTCCAGGGCTGGCAGGGCATACAGTACTGGGGATCAAACCCAGGTCCTTGTGCTTGCCAGGCAAGCACTTAAGACTACCAACCTATCTTCCCAGCCTGTTTTTGTATTTTCTGAGACAGTCTCACTGTGTTCCAGGCTGGCCTTGAACTCAGAATGTGGCCCTGGGCCTTGAACTTTTGATCCTCCTGCATTAACCTCTTAGAATGTTACAATTATAGGTGTGTGCCACCATTCCTGGTTAGAATCTTTAAAGATTTAAAGGTTTAGGAGGCATTTTATTACACCAATCTCTCCCACAGAGTCAGTGCCCCACCCAGCAGGGCTCTGGGAGTTTTAAAGGGAGAGCAAGCTGGGAGGTACAAAGGCAGATCTCATGCATTGATTGGAGGCTTCTGTGAGATCACAGGTTGCTGAGGGAGTTTACCTATCTAAAGTTACATTGCAGGGCCATCAGTTAAACAAGTACGGTTACACAAAGGAAAAAACGTCCCGTTATACTTGAAGTTACACTGCAAAGCCATAGAATCTTAATTTTTAAACAATGCTTTAATCTAATCAGCTATACAACTGACTCATAAAATACTGCCATTCTATATATTAGTGTCAAAATATACTCTGGCTACTTGAGATGTTTGTACATTAGATGGTTGTGCAACCCAGTCTATACTTCTACAGATACTCTTTCCTTTCTTTCTTTCTTTTTGAGACAGGGTTTCACTGCAGGTCAGGCTGGCCTTGAACACACTTTATAGCCCAGGCTGGCCTCAAACTTGCAGCGATCCTCCCAGCTCAGCCTCCCTAGTGATGGAATTATAGGTGTATACCACCATGCCTGGCCAGATATTCTTTTTCTTCATGAAAACTAAAGTACTTAATTGCTTTATTAATATACTTGAGCTTTCCTGTGCTGTGTCATTCCAACTCTCATCTTTGCCTGCTGAAATACAGTTCTGTTCTTGAAGGTTTAGTTCAAAAGACTTTCTTTTCTTTTTTTTTTTTAAATGTATTTGGTACAGGGTCTCACTGTGCAGCTTGGACTTGTAGTGATTCTCATTTTCAGCCTCCCTAGAGGTGGGATTACAGGCGTGCACCACCACCCAGTCTCAGTGACCAGCTCAGCGTGCCCAGGGGCAGGGCTGGCTGGCACAGCATGTGATGCCAAGGATGGAACCCTGGTTCCTGCACTTGCCTAAGCAGGCACTTAGTCAACTGAGCTATCGCACTAACCCTTCTAAACTTCTCTTAAGAGATCTGACAATTTTATGAGTTCTTCTTTCTTTTTCTCTTTTCCTTTTTTGATAATTAATAGCATTAAAAAAAAAAAAAAAAAAGCAAAACTCACCTGTCTAAGCCGCCAATCATCAGAAGCTGTTTAAACTGTTGAGGACTCTGAGGGAGAGAATAAAACTTTCCGGGTTCCCTGGATGGTACTAGAAACTCTTTGGCACCCTTTTAAAGAGAGGGAGAAGAGAGATATTATTAAGAACAAAACTGAGCAGGTGGCATATGTCTGAAACCCCAGAACTCTGGTAAGCTGAGCCAGGAGGATGGCAAATTTGAATCCAGCCTGGGTAACTTGGTGACTTAGCAAGAATTCATCTCAAAATAAAAAGTAAAAAATAGGCTGGGGATGTAGCATAGTGCAAAGGTCCTGGGTTCAGTCTCTAGTATCCAAAAACAATAACAACAAAAAGGTATAATTGCCTGGTGGAAGTTGTTATGTCAGCTTATTGATGAAGCTAAGGAGTAAAGTTCTCAGAACGACAGAGATGACTTCTTGCGGACCTTTCAGTCTCCAAGAAGGCTTGCACAGCTGGGGATGGTGGTACTGCCTGTAATCCCAGCACTATGAGGGGCTGAGGCAGGCAGATCCCAAGTTCAAACCCAACAGAGCAATCTAGACTTAGTGAGACTGTCTCAAAATAAAAACGGTTAGGAATTCAGCTTAATGGGAAGGACCTGGGTTCAATCCCCAGTACCTTGGTGTGTGTGGATGTGTGTGCTTTAAATACTGTTTCTACATAGAGGTATTAAACATATGCTTGTTGAAATGAATTCCCTAGTCAGTCACTAGCTGAACACATATCATACATTTCTAAGTAATTCCTAATTGCTTTTCTAAATTAAGTTGTAGTTTTATAAGACTATAGATTGCATAGATTATATGTCAGTGTTTAGAAATGAAAGTCTCTTTTTCTCTTACTCATATAGTATCCATCTTCCTTTTAAGTATCTTAGTCAAATGCTTTTTCCGGGCTTTGTGGGGCAGTAAGAAAAAGGAAGACACAGAGCAGACCAGACACAAGAAACTATGGAAAGTGGAGAGCGCTCTTTCACACGACAAAGAGAATGAGACAGGCCACCACTGGGCAAGAGCCCCATGGGGTGGGGGGGCACGGTGAAATAGTGAAGGAGAGGAACTATTGCTCTGGAGAAGGGTTCTTTCTTGACACAAGTAAAGATGAGGCTCTTAATAGCAGCCCCAAAGCCAGCCCACCCCACCATGGGGGCCTCAGCTCCAGGGAACCTGGCTGCTGTGTCAATGTCCTTTGAAATGGCAAAGGCTCTGATGTGGAAGCAACAGCTAGTGACAAGCGCTGCTGAGGCTCCCACCTGTCACTGGCTGGCTCAGAAGGTAAGAGGTGCTCACAATTAAGGTGCCAGTGTGGGCGAAACTGCAGGAGGCAGATATTTTGGGGAGTTACAGGCTTATGGTGGGAGAGTTGCTCCCAGTACAGCAAAGACGGAGAAGGCCATCTCCATCTGTCTGTCTATATTTAAAATATATATACTTAAAATCTATTTATATTTGCACATAATTAGGGATGTCAGTTATTAATGAACAAGAATTTTTTCGGGCCAGGAGATAGCTCAGTAGAATAAGCGCTTCCCTGGCAAGGGCAAGGGCCTGAGTTCAACCCCCGGTTCCACAAAAAAAAAAAAAAAAAAAAAAAAAAAAAAAAGCATTGATAAGCCTCAAGGGGAAAAAACTCATGGAATAAAAGGGTTCTCACTCAAAGGTTTTTTTTGGCCGGCTCAGCCAGCCCTGAGGGCAGGGCTTGCATGGCATAGTGGTGCCAGGGATCAAATCGTGGTCCCCTGCACCTGCCTAAGGAGGCGCTTTAGACTGCTGAGCTATCTCGTTGGCCCTCACCCAAAATATTGACCCAATATTTTTTTGACCCATAATTTTCTCATTTCCTAGGAAAACCTAGTTTATTAACTATAACTGTGCTGAGGCAGTAAATAAAATTTAAAACATGGACCAAGCGAATATAAAAGCAAAGTTGTCCTTTTTATAACTAATAGGATATTATTAGCAGAATGATTTAAGTAATATACCTACCCCTGGGGTCCTCTTAAATAATGTTGGGGTTTCTACATCCACAAATCCTGAAAAACGAGAAATGTGAGAATTTAATACGCAGAATTTTGGAATCTGAAATATGATGTTGATAGTACAGTTTTTATTGGGAGTTTCAAATAAGCTACTAGGCCTACTGATGTTGGTTTCTACAAATTCAAGAAGAGAGGTAAAATTTTCCCCTAAATATCTATTCTGGTATAAGCCTGATACTTCCAACATGAAATAATTCCAAATAAGTTGATGGATTCTGGTGTACAGAGCTGTTCCAGTGTTTAAAATGTTCTGCTTATGAAGTAAAAATAACACAAGCAGAGAAGGAAAAAATGCAGGGCAGATCAAGGATTTAGTTTAATTCTCAGGCTATTTCTGAGTATCCAAGAAATGATAGCTAAGCCTAATAAAGAATTAAGGGCTGGGGGTGTGGTTCAGCAGTACAGCACCACTACATAAAATGAGGCAGTACTGACAGGAAACACTGCACTAAGCAATGGAACTGGTTCTCATCTTCCAAAGGATCTCCTTGTGACCCAAGAAGGAACTATTTATAAAGATATCTCGTAGGACAAACCACTGTAACTTCATGTTTCTTCAAAAACTACCCTACCACATGGAATGAATTTTAGGTTTCTGGCACCATCAGGTCCAATGATGTGAAGAAAAGGCTATAAAAAAACTGAGCAGAACAGCAATGCAAAAGCTCCAAAGACATTCGAGCTTCCCTTACCATGCAGATTGCAAAGATACTCCCGCATCCTCATGACCATCTGGGACCTGAGTCGCAGGTTGTGCTGCATCTGGGCGCTCCGCAGGTCCAAGTACCGATACTGTAAACGAAGAGCCTCTGTTTTCTACACAAATAAAAATACTGACATTGAAATATTTTTTGCATATTAGAAAGGTGTTATCTTTAGATACAGAATTTGAATTTCCAAAAACTGTAGCTTCCACCATCAAATAACAGCGCAGTTTTGATTTGTGTGTACCCTGCCACCTTAATTCCTGCAGCCTTGAAGGTTTTTTTGTTTTATGTTCTGTGCAGTACCGGGGACTGAATTAGGGACCCTGTGCTTGCCAGGCAGGTGCTTAAGCCACTGAGCGATATCCCTGGTCCCCTGAAGTCTGTTAGGGGTACAGATTTTACTGTTTCTATTTTTGTTTGAGACAAGGTCTCACTATGTAGTTCAGCTGGCCTTGACCTCACTATGTAGTCCAGGCTGGTCTCAATCTCATGCCAATTCTGTTGCTTCAGCCTCCTGAGTTCAAAAATTACAGGTGTGCATCACCATACCTGACTCACTTTTTTTTTTTAACCATTTCTTAGTAATATCACCCTTTACTGCTTAATATTTATTTATTTACTTTAACATTTCTTGTTTAAGCCCACAGTTGACTTGTGAAAAACAAAAAAGGTAAAGGTTTCAGGGATCTTGTAAAGAGATAGGGCAAAGTGAAAGCTGGGAGTTTATTACCCGAATGGGACACTGACTAGAAGTGTAAGGACTGAAGAGAGGGCACTGAGCCTCTCCAGCGCTGGGCATGCAGGGATACAGCGAGGCCTGCTTATTTTCAAGGCTGTAAATCCTGCATCTCTCTATGTGTGGATAGGCAGAGCATGTACAAGGCCCTAGGCTTGATCCCTGGCGGCACCACCACCACCACCACCACCACAACAAAAGTCCACAGTACATAAGTCTGTAATTTTTTTTTTTTTTTTAAGTCTGTAATTGCAACAAAGCTGAAAATCATTGGGGTGTCTGTACCTGTGCTGTCGAATTCCATTAAACCCCAAAACTTTGATAAAAACATCCTAAATTAGCTGGGCATGGTGGCACACTCCTGTAATCTCAGCATTTGGGGAGCTGAGGCAGGAGAATGGCCATGAGTTTGTGAGTTTGACCCCTGCCTTGGCTACATAATGAGTCCACGGCCAGCCTGAACTATACAGTAAGACCCTGTTTAAAAAACAAAACAAGGTTTTGCAGGACTCTTTGCAAGGGTATCTGGAAGTAAGCTGCACTGAGCCGGCAGCTGCAGTAACTACAGGTTCAACTACAACTCTGCGATGTTTCCCTTGGCAGGAAAGCACATTAGGTCGTTTTCCAGTTCAAAGCAGTCAACAAATGGTGGCAAGGCAGAGCCACCAGAAACGGACACCTGATTTCCACGACAAATATGGCAATGCTGTACTAGTCGGTGGAGCCACGTCCTGTATTGCTGCATGGACCTACACAGCAACACAGACTGGAATAGAATGGAGCCTTTCCCCTGTGGCAGAGTCACCCCCAAGGAATGGAGAGATCAGTAATCGCGCCAGCTGAAATGAGGCAGCTAAATTATTTCTAAATGAAATCATAATTGATGCCAAGTAAAAGTGCTGTGTAGCCATTAAAATACGGCCCACTGAAGAAACAAGGTACAATTGAAGCTTTCAAAAACAAAACACATTGTAAATTACAGTAATCATATTTACATGAATGGTGAGAAGTCAAGAGTTGCTCAAAGTACACATTTTATCATGGTTAGAAGTTTATAGTTAAAAAGTACAGGATTCCCCTATGCCATCTAGCCATTTTCAAGTGAGGTACAAACTGCCTTTTAAAGTGTTAAAATACAGGGGCTGGGGAGATGGCTCAGTAGAATAAGCATTTCCCTGGCAAGCGCAAAGGCCTGAGTTCAATCCCTGCCAAAGGGAAATCTGCCAAAAAAGGAAAAAAAAAAAAAAAAAAAAAAAAAAAGGTTAAAATACCAACAAAAAAATATAGCATCCTAAAGATACTTCTGTTTCAATCTACAGAAAAGAATAGTCCAGGGCAGTGGTGGAGAACCTCTAGCACATGCGATAGCAGGCTGTTACCATCATGGAAGGCTCTGGCCTAGTGTGCTTATAGGCCAAAACACATTAATAAACTATCACTATTTAAGAACATTCAAGCCAGGCATGGTGGCACAAGCCTGTAATCCCAGGATGGGAGGCTGAGGCAGGAGGATCGTTGTGATTGAGACCAGCCTGGGCTACAAAGTGAGCTCAAGGCCAGCCTGAACTGCACAGTAAGACCCTGTCTCAAAAAAAGAAAAAAGAAAAAAAGAAAGAAGAATTCATAAGCCAAGCATGGTAGTGTACACCTATAACCCTGTTATTTTGGGAGGCTGAGGCAGGAGGACTGCAAAAAGAAACTTAGCCTAGGCAACTTAGCAAGACCCTGTCTCAGAAAGCAGGGGGGACGGGCCGGGGAGATGGCTCAATAGA